ACTAGGCCACCAGAGCTCCCTATATAAAGAAATCTCATTGGTAACCTGGGAGATAAGACTGAGAAACACATTACAGACTTCCATGTAAGTGGTAGGTCGATTTACCAGACAGTGTGCTTAAATCTTGAATACTTGAGCAGTAAAAATGGCTAAAGTGGTTTGTCACTAACTGAAAAATTGAGGTTTGAGCCCAACCAGAGTGGCCTTGAAAAAGACCTGGAAGTCTATTTACAGAGCTCCAATGGCCTAGTGGCAAGAAGCTGTGGTGCAATCCTGAAGGCATGCAATATGAGGCCACCAGCTATCCCATGGGTGAAGGATGGGCAATCTCCTCTCTTGTGATTAACTGCCTCTGAAAACCTGACTGAGGGTCAGGTATGGGGCTATTCCAACTCTATGGTACACAACGACAGCAATCTACTTGTAAAAGATCAGTCATTGAAAACTTTGCAGAGTGCAGTTCTACTCTAACAAAATTTGTTACTTGATTCGTCTCACAGATTTAAAAGCTATGAATAAGACACATTTTTTTAAAATAAAATATCTCAAATGAACTCTGAGAATTTATTATTTTAAAAATGTCAAAAAAAATGCCAAAGGTAAACTACTTTCAAGGCAAACATTTATGTTAGTTTCTAGATTTTGTAAGGTCAAATATGAAAGGCAACATGGTGGCCAAGAGCACAGATTCTCCTGCCCCACTATTTACTAACTTTATAGTCTTTGGGAATTTATTTAGCTTCTTGGTATGGAAATTTTATTATTTATGAAATGGGGGATATAATAGTTCTTGTTTATAGGGTTGTTAGGAAGAGTAAGTAACTTAATACTAACAAAGTGTTTAGATATAGAACTAGAGATAAGTTTATAAAATGATCCAGAAATACAGACTCATCTTTTTATCTTTTTTCCCCAAAATGGGATGTGTTTATCTATATATTGCTTCAACTTTGGTCTACCTATATATGAAAATCCAATTTCTCAAGGCTCAAAAATCATATAGTAGAGAAATACAGGATTCTCTTCAGTAACAAGCACTTCATTAAAAAGAAAAATACATTTTTTAAATACTAAAATAAAACTTACTTGATGAAACAATTGTTGACTGAACATGTGTAAAGCCCCACATTCTTTTCTCCTTGTGGTTGAAGCAAAAGTGCGAAGGATCACATACTTTCCTTTTAATTTTCTATTTTTAAGGCTAATTCTCTAAACAAGACATTTACCTTTAAAAAAATCTCAATATATTAAAGAATAACTTCACTCCCTAATGTGAAAAACAAGACATGAAATCAAGTAATATCTAACTCCTTGTTGTTGTTGTTATGTGCCGTCGAGTCGCTCGCGACTCATAGCGACACTATGTACAACAGCCCTAAACTCCGCTCTGTCCTGTGCCAATCGCACTGTCTCTGACACTCCCATCCCAATTATCCCAGTCACTGAATCAATCCACCTCATAGAGGGCCTTCCTCTCCTGCGCTGTCCCTCCATCCTCCCAAGCATGATGTCCTTCTCCAAGGACGGAGCCTCAGAATCCTTGCCTCCAAGGAGCCACCCAGTTTAACCCTTTCCAGGACAAATCTGTTTGTTTTCCTAGCAGTCCATGGTGTTCTCAATACTCTTCTCCAGCACCACAGCTCAAAGGCATCAATTCTCCTTCTATCCTCCTTGGTCATTGTCCAACTCTCTCTGATGCATAACAAGTGATTGTGAAGACCATGGCCTGTATCAGACACACCTTAGTCTCCAGAGAGACACCATTGCTCTTCAGCACTTTGGAGAGGTCCCTAACAGCAGACTTTCCCATGGCAATGCACCTTTTAATTTCCTGGCTGCTGGTGCCAAGACTGTTGACTATGGAGCCAAGCAAACTAAAGCTGTGTACAATCTCAATCTCTTCACCATCCATCCTGATGCTGCCAATTGGTCCAGTGGTGAGAATCTTTGTCTTCTTGACATTGAGCCTCAATCCATATTGTAGGCTGCAGTCCTTGACACTCTGCAGCAGGTGCTTCAGGTCCTCTTCAGTTTGAGCAAGCAGGGTTGTGTCATCCACATAACGCAGATTGTTGATAAATCATCCACCAATCTTGACCCCACATTTCTCCTCATAGAGCCCAGCCTCCCGGATAATCTGTTCTGCATATAGGTTGAAAAGGTATGGAGATAGGATGCATTCTTGCGTACCCCCTTCCCAATTACTCCTAAAGTAAACCAATCCTTGGGAGGAAAGGCTAATTATATAGAAATTATTTCTTTGTTAAGGAACCCTGATGGTACAGTTGTTAGTCTTAGATACCTTATGGCTCAGTTCTACTTGACAGAGGGGTGCTGTAAGTCACAATCAACTCAGTGACAATGGGTTTTATTTAGTTCGTTAACTACTTGACTTTAACTATGAATATTCATTTCAAAGCGTCTATTCAATACCTGCCATGTGTAAGCAAGCAGTTAGTTTATATGTTGGCATTTGTCATCATCTGGATATGAACCATTGTTATCTGCACTTTGGATTACAAATCAACTACTGAATTTCAATATTATCAACATGTTTTGATTCTTTCTGATCATCCAGCACATACCAGCATGATCTCCCTGATTCCTTACCTGATTCAAATTGAGGGAATAAAAGATTATAAATCAAGCATGGATTTGAAAATTTGCTTAGAAGTTTTAAAAGCCTAACTTGTTTCAAATGAAAGAATTCTTTTTACAATCAAGGATTTATATTCTCTGATATGGATCCCTACTTTAAGAAGGTAAATGAAAATTGATAATGCAAAGATGAATATATATATAAATATGTATACACACATACATACACACAGTCTCACTATTCATGTGCAGATATTGTGCATGCACACACAATACATATATAATCTTACCCATGAGCAATATTTAAATGGCAGAACTGCAATCATCACCTAAAATATGGCTTCTGAGGTTGGCAGGTCTGACTGAGGACTGCTTGGAAGAGTCAGAAGCAGAGGAATTTTCTATTGTAAGCAAAGGGGACACTGCTGAGCCATCAGGAAGAGCTATAGCTATTTCTGGAAACAAAGATACCATATTAAAATTGGATCAGTAAGGGAGCTAGGGTGGCCTATTGGCAAGAAAACCCACTGCAATCCTGAAAGTACACAGTTCGAGGTCACCAGCTGCTCTGTGGGAGAAGGATGGGCAATCTCCTCCCATGCATTTAACTCCCTCTGATAACCTGCTGGAGGGTCAGCTATGGGTCATCTCCAACTCTACAGTACACAACAACAAGATGTGCTTTTATGCATTGGTGGCATATAAAAAATGTAAATAAGTTTATAAAAATGTATAAGTTCTATTATAGGAAAACATATTTAAATCTCTGCAATTAGGATATTGAACAAGCATTAAGATTCTTAAGGATAGAGTTCATATCCTGAATCTTGTTGTAGCAATTGATTAGAATTAAATAACAGATTGAAATATATTAATGTATCTGATTGTCCTCCTAACTTCATTTTTTTTTTACATTTAGAGAGTATTTATAATGCTTGTGTATCTTATCCACCTAATAAAGTGAGAATAAACCTTATGGAAGTGGAGGAGGAAGGAGTTCAAGCGAGCTTAACTTGCTCTAAGGTTCAGAAAAAAAATGAGTTACAGTGTTGGAATCAATATCAATAATGAAGCTATTTTCAAAGATAGAATTCTTTCCTATGTATGCATCATCCAATTAGTTGATTTGTTCAAAATTGGGACTCAATAAAATATGCATTGAGTTACATTGATTGAAGGTTTTTATAGACACTTATTGAGCTCACCAGGAAGCTCTGGCGGTATGGTCCATAGGGAGTTTATGCTGCTAGTCCAAAGGTGGTGGTGCCTCCTCTCATGGTTTGAATTCACCAAGAGCTATGCTGGAGAAAGATGGGCAATCTCCTTTCAAACATTTTATAGCCTTCTGAAAACACACTAGACGTTCCTCTATGAGTTGTCTATGACTCAATGACAATGAGTATATAAGTATTCAGTTCATTTGGAGAAAGATACACTGCTGGTGAGAGAGGAAGACAGTAACCAAGGCTAACTATCCTCAACAGTTGATAATGACCAGGTGTTGGAAAGTAAATCTCTGTGAAGGGACTTAAGTGTGGACTTCAATTAACAACAAAGTTGCTGTATTGGTTCCCTGTTGTTGCTAGGTGATGCCAACTCGCAATATTCCCACGTATTATAATAGGTGTGTCTGAGTTCATTCTTGCAGCCATTGTGTCAACACATCTCATCAAAGGTCTTCCTTTATTTTCATAACATGTCCATAGTAAGGAAGATTTCCTCCTTTTTAATTTTTGTAACATGCTCAAAGTGAGACAAAGTCTCACCAATCTTGCTTCTGAAGAATATTCTCACTGTACTTCTTCTAATACAGATTTATTCACTGTTCTTGCCTTCCATGGTAGATTCAATATTCTGCAACAACCCCATGATTTAACTGAATACATCACTTCCAGCTTCATTTTCATCATCCAGCTTCCAGATAGATAGATAGATAATAGATACATAGATATAGATATATAGAGATTAGAGATATAAATATAGATGAGAGAGAGAGAGAGAAGGCAATTAGAAAGACTGTGGCTTGGGTTAGCGGAACCTGAGTTACTGAAGTGACAGCTTACTTTCTAAGATTCTAAAGAGTTCCTTTGTAGAAAATGTGGCCAGTTTGATATATTATTTGATTTCTTACTTTCATGGGTACTTATTTTTTGATCCAAGTAAAATGAAATCCTTAAGAGCTTTAATATTTTCTTCATTTGTCATGATGCTTATTGGTTTAGTCATGAGGATTTTTGTGTTATGCTGAAGTGGCAATAAATAGTGTAAGGGGTTAACAACATTTTCTGTATTATCTTTGCAACATTACTGTAAGTTTAAAAATATTACATATTTTTAAACAATTTATTAAAAAGAAAGGAAGGAGGGAAGAGAGAATCATGTCCATCAATGTTGCTGCTTACTTCTTCATAAGGATGTTCCCGCCTTGGCCTTTTCTTTGGAAAAGATAAATCCAGAAAGTCAACCAAATAGTCGTATCCTCCAGGGTAAGGGTTGAAGTTCTCATCTGTCTCAATCATCTGTGCAAATGACAACACGTAAAAGTGAAAAACCATATCAATTGTATGGTTAAAATCTTTTAAAAAATTTTTTCCATATCTAAAACCTCAAAACCTTTAAACATTAAATTGTAGTGGATTTGAATGAATATAGAAAAGTCTCCCTATCTCTTCTTCCCTTCCCTATCCTGATAACATTCAAATCATATTCTTTTACACTAACAAAACTGCTTCCTGTCACTGACTTCAATCAAATGTATGGGGAAGGCTATCATTAAGTAGTACTATTGGTTAGACATCAACACCACCATAATTTTGCAGCCTAGTAAATAAATATAAAGTGAGGAATGTTGTTTGTCATTGAGCATAAATAGTTTCTTTGAAAAAAGAATATTTTCTATTTCCCATAATTGTTGTTCAACTAAAATGATAATTTAGACCACAGTTTTCCAGGTCTTTGGATTTCAAAGACAAAGTCCCTGACATTATTTGGGAACCAATAAAAGGTATGCTTTGCCAAATGGTATATTCAATACTCTTCTCCAACACCACAATTCAACAAGCAAAACAAACAAAAACTTGTTTCTACTATCCCTACTATATACTATACTTCCATTTCATCACAGAAAGACTGTTTTAATCACTAAAACCCAGAAAGGATATAATCTTGGAATCATGCAATCCATCCTAAGAAAGGATAATCTTTCCTGTCATCTTTGTGCAGACACACATTCATCTGATCACACTCACTTCACTATTGACTAGTGGAAACTTAGACCAGAATAAGTACAGGGGAGTCACGACTTTAGAGCATGGGAAGTGAAGCTTGTTACTAATGCTCTTAGGTTGAACTTGTTAACTTGGAAGTAGTACTTATTATGGGAGAACCTGGATCTCCTTCTTTTAAGGTGTGAGTGTTTGATGAGTGTTCCTGGGTAATAGACCTAACCTGAACTTTTCTCTCCACACACAATCTCATGTACCAAATATAAGCCAGAGGTAGTTGGTCACTTATACTCTACAGTTCATTTCTGGCCCATTTCTGGACTCTCCTTTCTCTTGCAGCAGTCTCTGTTGTTGTTCTTATTGTTAAATGTTGTCAAGTCAATTCTGACTCATGGGAACCCCATGTGTATCAGAGTAGAAATATGCTCTATAGTGTTTCCAAAGCCTGTGATCTTTCAAATGACTGTGGTGAGGTCTGTCTTCTGAGCCAGCTCTGGTCAGACTTGAACCACTACACTTTCACAGCTGGCAGCTAAGCATATTGACTGTTGGCGCTATTTAGGGAGTCTTGTATGGACTTCCTGGGAGGCTAAGAACTGGACTACTAGTTGTAAGGTTGGCAGTGACCTACTTTCAAATGATCATAACCATTGAAAACCCTATGGAACACAACTGTGCTCTGACACATGAAGGGTCTCTATGAGACGGGGATAACTTGCGGACAGCTGTTTTGTGGTTTGTGTGGTTTTTTTTTTCTCCAGCACCTCTTGCCTAACAGTATTCTTTCTGCTTTTAGACTCACCCTCAGTTTTGGTGACTAGGTTATAACCTGAACAGCTTGACTTGAGGGCTTTAACTGTGTATATGTTGGGGTTCACTTTAGGTTTTAGTTCTCAGCTGACTTCCTGGCTTCTGTCATGCGATCTTTTTGATGATACAAGTAAGACTTAGATGCCACATCCTCTTGCTGAGTGGAGCCCACCTTTCAGCCCCTCAGCTTAAACAACTCTTCCAGCTATAATATATAAACAACCAAAAATATCCTATAAAACAGAAACAAACAACAATAAACATAGATTGGGAGGAGGCAACAAAATTCTCCAAAAGAGAAACCAAATTATACTTAGAAACACTCTCTAAGTTTTCAGTAAGGGAGGATTTATCACATTGTCAAATCTGTTTTTCTGTTGAGCACACAAGAGGGTTGAAGGAATGCTGTTGAGAAATCACTTGGAATATTAATGAGTGTTCATATCTTTCAGTAACACAAGTAAGCAAAGATATTTAATTTTTAAGAGCATACCCTGATCACAAGGTTATAGTCCTTAAATCCAGCCCAAGTGAAGTACTCTTTTATCCAGGATGAGTGAAGAAATATTTCATCTTCTATGGAAGTACTCAAGATTCTTAAGTATGGTTCAAAATCCCAGGAATCCTTGTAAATTTTAGTTCCTTCTGGAGGATCTATGATGCCCTTGCTGAAAGACATGAAGAAGAAAAGTAGTGGAGATGGAGATAGGGAAGAAGAAAGCAACAAAAATGAACCCAGAATGCAAAAGTTAGCCCTTAAATATTCAATATCATAAATCAACCAAACTAGTGGCTTTTAGGCTGCTTGAGAGACCATCAGGGTGTCTCAGAAGTGTCACAAGGTGTCACAAAAGTGCCACAGGAGTTACTTGATGTTGAGCATACACTTCTGCCTCAAACCAAAGACACACCTACTAATTGTTCATGATGTATTTCCAAGTTAGATTTCATTCAAAGAAGTCTAAGTTGAATGCCAAACATTTGAAAACTACTCCTTTGGAGCCTCCTGTACTGAATAACTCTGGAAATGTTGATTAGAATCATATTGACTTTATAGATATCTACATATCCCTTTCCTTAAAAAAAAAAAAAAGAGAATATAAGTTCTATGAAGACATAGAAGATGAACATAAGAATGTAATGTCCCTATTTTGGAGCTATATTTAGAATTTTTTTCCTCTCTCTAACATACACATAAAATATGCATGATATCTAACATATACATGACATCCCATGGACTGCCAAAAGAACAAACACATCTCTCGAGTGCTCCATAGAGGCATGGATGGTGAAACTTCATCCCTACATACTCTGGGTATAATATTAGGAAAAATCAATTCTTTGAAAGAGATATTATGCTGGGGAAGTTGGAGGGATCAGAAAAAGAGAGAAAGACGCTCAACAAGATTGACAAAGTGACTGTAACAATGGGCTCCAGCATATCTGTAATGTTGAGGATGGGGCAGAACACAGTAAGGTTCAGATATGTTGTTCATATGGTTTCAACAAGTCACAGTTGACTCAAGGGCACCTAAGAACATCACAAAACCCCATTACTGTATAAAATCTAACAACGGCCAGCAGGCTGTTGGGTAACTTTATTCTATAAACTATCGAGAAATGTCATTCTTAGAACTTGTTCTTCCTGTATGAGGATGATTCATGGTGTGAAAACACAGAAATTTTAATTTGGGAGTGGAACATAAAGTGTTTTGGCAAAGGAAGTATTCTACTGTGAAAATCAAGGTATGTCAGGAGAGAATCAGGCTCCTGTCTATTAGGCAAGCAAAGGCAAGTCTTTGTTCCTCTTCCTAAAGCAGTGTGTTGAGTCCTTTGAATACCAAATCAGTCATACTGGTTTTGCAGCAAGAAACTGTTTACTATATCCCAAGGTTTCTAACTTAAAGACAATTTAAATCAGCTTCAATTATTGCCTCTGTTTAAAAACAAACAAAAAAAAAAGTAGCTGAGGAGAAACAAGTAAATAAGAACCTCTAAACAACAAATTTATTGTTAAATAAATGCTTAGTCATGGCAACCCCATGTGAGACAAAGTAGAACTGTTCCCATAAGGCATATCTTTACAGAACTAGATAGCCTGGTCTTTTCTCTGAAACTGCTTATCATTGTTGGTAAGTGCCATTGTGTCAAATCTGACTAATAGCAAACTTATGTTGAAACCTTGTCCTATCCTTTCCATCCTTACAATTCCTGCTGTGTTTTTAAGTCTATTGTTACAGTCACTGTGCCAATCCCCATCTCATTGAAAGGTTGAGGGTCTCCCTCTCTTTTGCTGACCCTTCATCATTCCAAGTAAATAGTCCTTTTCTTAAGACTAGTCCCTTCTGATAACATGAGATAAAGTCTCACAATCTTAGCTTTTACAGAACATTCTGGTTGTACTTATTTCAAAACATTTATTTTTTTCATTCTTTTGACCAACTATAAAAAATGCAATACTTTTCAAAGTATTGAAAAATTCAAAATTCAAAGCCATCAATTCTTTTTTTGCTTTTCTTTATTCATTGTCCAATTTTCACATGTGTATGAAGTTCTACATATATAGGGAGCTCTGGTGACTTAATGGTAGAGAATGTCAACAGAGAAAAATGTGGTTTGAACCCATTAGCTACATCTTGGGAAACAGATGGATGATCTCCTCCTGTCCAATTTACTGTCTCTGAAAACCCACTGGAGAGTCAGCTATGAGTCACTTTCCAACTCAACCATACCTAGCTTCAATTTGAGTTCAAATAGTCCACATTTAGGTTAGTAAAAGAAAAACAAACAGAAAAACTACTGACATAGAATCTATTCCAATCTGTAATGACCCACAGGATAAAGAAAAACTGCTTATTGGGTTTCCAAAGCTGTAATCTTTTTAAAAATTATTACTATTATTATTATTATACTTTTATCATTCATACACATTATATTTCATGCATGAACACAGTGTTCCATGCTGTCTTTCATTTATATTCTATTTTGTTCATTTATGTTGTGGGACTTTTTTCCCTTCCTTACAATCATCCTACCAACAACTAGTTTCTTGAATGCATGTAAGTCTTCATGCCTTATGCCTTATACCCTAATATCCCCCTTTTAGATAGTCAATTGCTAATTTTCCCATCCCTATCAATCCAGTACTCTGAGGAAATAAATGATGGAGTGATATTAACAAGTTCTAGATTATTCAAACATGGTATAGTTCTAAAACTGACATCACGTGCCTCCAGAATGCAAAACTAGTTGGACTGCTAATTAACATTCGCTTTGTCCTAGAATCTTGATTCAATTTTTTACATAGTTATGTAAAGAACTTTAAGCTATCTGTTTTCCAGGAGGGGAAATGCATCTTTCATTGAATTAGCATTTGTCTTTCCTCAGTCATACATAAACTGTACCTTAAGCTGTCTTTTTTCCAGAAAAAGAAATGCATACTTTCTGAATTAGCATTTACCTTTTCTAATATTATTTTTCTTCCTCATATGTAAACTATTTCACAAGTTGTCTGTTTACTGTGCCTTGAACATAAAATTATTGTAGTTTTAAGCTAGCCATAGTATAAAAACCAATTTTGAGAGGATGTTTTCTACTCTCTCAGATATGCAATAAAGTGCTTTGGATATTGCAATCTATCTGTCTTATTTGCAAGTGACTACAGAAAAAACCCCTTGCATTCACTAACACAAGCATGTCCCTTTTGCTGAAGGACCCTCTCTGTTCAACTTGGAAACTTTGAGCATCTGCATCCACAAGCAAAGTCCTGTCCAGAGCAAGCCATAGGTTGCAGTAATCTTCCCTGCCTTATAGTTTGGATCATCTTCTCTTCATATGATTGGTTTCTGGTCAATTCATTCCCCCCATTTGCAGCTAAGTTTAAATGGGCATCAGCTGCAATCTCGGGATTCCACACTTCTCCTTGCACTCCAGATCTGTTGATCTTCTCTTTCAGTCCTAGCCCCCATATGGGCCCAAGTAAAGTCAACAGGCTATATGTTCTCAAGACTCCCTTCTCCTCAAGTAAACAACCTTTTCTTGTCCATCTGCACGTCTGTGCACACTAGGTGGACAGCGCTTAAAGACCATATCCAAGCTCAGCCTGTTTTTCCATTGTTGTATTCTACCACCTTCCATTTCTGTGGATCCAAGTGATCACTATGAATAAGAACATTCCAATCTCGAGTCTTGGAGGTGGGGCCTGATGATTACCCTGCCTCAGAAACCAAACGGCTTATTCCAGTTACAAAAAGATAATCTCTCCTCCATTGACCTCTCAATTTGAGAAGGAAGCTTCTTCCCCTTCCCAAGGAGAATTCTTGAAGGAGGAGAAGAGCCTCCCAGTCCTGCAAGTAACCCTCTTATCTATAAGGGAGAGAAAAAACTGCAACCTTGCAAGACTGTAAGCTTCTCAATAAACAGTACATAAACAGTCCCCATATATGGAAGGCGAGGGCATGCCTGTATACAAGACCCTCTCCCTCTCCCAAAAACTGTAAAAAGCTGACATCAACTTCCTTCCACCTTATAAGTTTCTGCCCTGTTTTTCTGCTGCTGGTTTAAACCCACCAATGAGAAAGGCCTTATCTGCTTCCCTATAAAAAACCAATTCCAAAGGATCTCGGGGAGCTTCAGCCATTTGGGCTTGAAGCCATCTTCACTTTCAGCAAGAAAGATTGTGTAATCTGCATAACAAAGGGTATCCTTTAGTCTTCTTCATATTGATGCCACATTTCTCTTCATAGAGTCCAGCTTCTTGAATAACTTGCTCAGCATACAGATTAAGTAGATATGGAGAAAGGATACTATCCTGATGTACACCTTTTTTCATTTTAAACTATACAGTTTAAACAATATAGTGTTCCCTTGCTCTGTTTACACAATTGGATTTTGGTCTAGATAGAGGTTTTGCATGAGCACAATTAAGTGTTTTGGGATTCTCATTATTCTCAATGTTAGACATAATTTGTTATGATCCACATAGTCAAATGCCTTTGAATAGTCAACAAAACACAGATAAACATTATTCTGCTATTATTTGTTTTCAGCTAGTTCCATCTGATATCAGCAAAGATATCCCTGGTGCCTCAGCAGAGAAGATACAAATCAAAAGGGATATTAGAAGAGACCCTGAAAATTGCGCTAGAGTACCAAGAAGGTTAAAAAAAAAAAAAGGGAAGAGATATTGAAGTAAAAGAGTTGAACAGGAGATTTAAAGATCAACTGGAGAAGATAAAGCAAACTATTATAATGGAAAGAGCAGAGACCTAGAATCAAAAGGAAAGAAATTGCTCAGCATTTTTCCAACTGCAAGAACTTTGAAAAAAATTCCAAGTTCAAATTGCAATACATAGAGATGCTGTGGGCAAAATCTTGCATGATCCAGGAAGCATTAAAAGAAGATGAAAGGAATACACAGAATCACTGTACCAAAAGAAATGACTGACACAGAAATATTTCAAGAAAAACCATATGAACAAGAACCAATGGTAATGAAGGAAGAAACTGAAGCTGTATTGAAGGCACTGGCAAAAAATAAGGCCTCGGGAATTGATGGGATACCAGTTGACATGTTTCAAATAACAGATGCAGCCCCAGCTGTGATCACCAGTCTATGCCAGGAAATTTGGAGGACAGCTGCCTGGCTGATTAATTGGAAGAGATCGTA